AGGGCAAGACAGGAGGAAAAAAAAAAAAGAGAGAGAAAAAAGGTCTTGCTCTGTCTATACTTATGCATTCTGACAAACTGGCAGCAGCAGCAGAGATGCCAGATTCATCAAATTTCTGGGACTATAAAACCAAGCCTTTTCTCCTTCAGGTCCTTAAAGGGCCTGTGACACTTCTACGGCTGCTAGCTTTCCTGGAGGATATTCTCCATCTCCCTAAATAACGCTTGCAGTTTTGATCAGCTAGTGTTGTCCTACTTCCTCTTAAACTGGTGGGCTTTGCTGTTGCAAATTACTAACGACCACAAAGGGCAGTTGTACTGTAGTGGTGGGTGAAGCGATTCCTACATATCATATGCAACGCACTTCAGGGCAGCAGCTCCCGTAGATAACACTGTAAGCTGATCTATTATTAGGGAGAAGAGACTGAACAGAATATGCTGCTTTCTGTTGTTCCCAGCATCTCTCCTGTACAAAGGGAGAGACTAGTCTCTGGGGAAACAGTCTGTCTTGACATACCAAATCACTACTCTGACTTCAGAACAAGCCCAGTCTGCAGCTGAGAATTAAAAATACAATTTTTTTCCAGCTTGTCAGCAGGTTTGGTAGGGAGAAAGCATAAGTCTGTTTTCAAATGCATTGTATCCTGCACAGCCTTTCTACAAACCACACGCAACTCCTAGCACAGACTTCACATATGAACTTATAAAAAAATGCACAGTTATTTGAATGCCCAGAGGTACTATAGGAAGCTATGCAAAGAGAAAAAGGACATTGCAGCTGATTTGTAGTTTATAGCCCTTGACAAGTCACGGAAATCATTTGGGATCCCAGTGCATAAACACATTAAGGTACAAAAAGTAGTTTTTTCTTCCTATACTTACTTACAAAAAAGTGGAAAGCGTTGTTTTTAATCCCGAACTTATTTTTTCTGAATAACATTAGTAACTAGAGTGTCGTAAAAGCTCTCAGTTGACCTAATCTGCAAATAAACTTAATTCCTGTGCAAGTTTTTCAGAACCAGCTAAACAGTTTTCTATAGGATGAGTAAAGCCTCCCTTCAAAAGACCACCCCTAAATTTCACTTTCTCATTTCTTCCATTTTTCTCTTCCAAATACATGATTATCCACCCCTTACTGACTTGAGGAATCAGAATTCGTTCCTCAGTGAGCCTCTCAACACAGTATGGATCGCCAGCTTGCTATATTTGTGTTCCAATATACAGAAGTTGCATATTTAAAAGTCACGAGTCTGAGCGGCTCCAAAGCTTTGTTTGCTTTGGTTTGGGGGTTCTTCAGCCCTCTTCAGAAGCCCTATCACCTTTTTATGGGTAGGACTTCACGGTTCAAAACCTTAGGTCCTCAAGGCAATTTAGACAAGCACAGCTTTCTCCTTGATGTGTAAAACCGAATACATACTTGCAGCTTGTCCATCTCTTCAGGGGCTGATGACAATAAAAGCATATGTTGCAGCACTGATCACAAGTTCCAATATAGCTGCCTTTTACTTTACAGAGTTTAAGGGAGATACAGATCTGTGTAAAACTACTCCAGTCATATACTAATTTCTGCCTGCTTCTGCGATAGCTGGGTCTACTTCCTGATCAGTGCATATCAATCAGGGTTAACAGTCTGTGTGGCTTAACTTCAGCTCATCCCTTACAGAACTGCAATATATATTAGGGATTTGTCAGCTTCCACAGTCACTGTACATGAAAATAATCAATAAAACACAGGAATTTTATAAAGTTAACCAGAATTCATTCACTGGATTCCTGGAATTGTCATACTGTGTCACTAAGGGTTTCATGCGCTACATTCAGAATGACACAACTGACCTGCGTTTCTCTTATCAGCATCAATTTTCTTTCCCTGAAATTACACTAAAGTGGATGCAGCTGCAACTCCATTTGATAAGCAAAGACCCAATGTTGTCCATCAATTGTCCAGCTAAAATACAGAGCACAAAATAGGATGTACAGGAGTTTATCCAACAAGCTTTTATTTGCCCAAAAATACTGCATGTGAAACTTCATTAGCCTGTCACTCTAGAATTGCAGAAATGTTATATTTCAAAAGCAATTCGGTAGGGCTTCTGGATCAGCTATAATAAAAGGGCCAGACCGAAGTAAGAGAGCAGTTTCAATGACAAACACTTACATCAGTTTTTTTTAGATAACTGTTTGTTTTTGGAAACCAACACACAGTTTGCATTAAACTACTGAAATGCAGGAGGGCAATCTGGCTTTGCATGTATGTTTAACAGCAGTGAGTAACAACGATCCACAAGCAAGCACTTAACTATTTACAGGACTTGCATGGACACACATGCAACCTAGCAGTGCCAATCAACTGGGAGAATAAAGGGAGCATATTCTTCATCATGGAATGGAGGAGAAAATCGTGTGTGTGTGCAATAAGCAATACCTATAATCAGCAGATTAGATGCAAAAGGAAATGCATTACTATCTAGGAGCTAGCATGGCATCCACCAGCATTAACACCAAGAATAGCTGAGGTTAATAGTTTTAAATGCTTCCCCTGAGCAGAATTTTTACAAACACATTTCCTGTCAAACAGACAGAAACCCGAGCGTAATTCATGCTTGTGCCAGGTGTAACTGCTCAAGAATCAGCCCTGATCACCCCCCCCCACCCACCCAGCAATGTTCCCAGGGAGATGAAGTAACAGAAAATCCCAAAATAGATAACTTATCCAAAAAACACTTTCTCAGTATATATGAACTGCACATTAAACACTGCTGCGTAAGCAGTTTGTGTGTTTGGGGAGGACTTCCTTCTTGTAAGGTTCCAGTACCAAACTCTTACAGAGCCTTAGTGTTTTCCCTTTAATTATGGTGCAAACACTGAAACATATTTCTGATAATTACAAGGGAAAGATAAAACTGAAATCCCAATGCAAACAGCTTTCATTTTACTTATGAAGCTTCAGTTTGCTACAGGCCAGGTCCACCAGCATGTGTTAATCTCAACAGGATTCAAAGCCCATACTATGGATTCTCACAAAGATTTTATGAATTACTAAAACAATAGAAGTTAAGTGATATCACAGTATCCTCATGGTATTGGTTTAAAACACCTGCACAATAATCAGCTTTTCAGATTAACTGGAAGCCTCAGCGTATCCATCCTGAAAGCCATTGTTTCACTCTTTCTCTCTCCGAAGTCTGAGGAAGAGTTCTGCGGAAAACATTCTCCCTAGAACTTAAACTCAAACCTCCAGTTCTTGGAGGTTTGGCACTTTGCATTGTTTTACTTACTGGTATTGGACTCCATTCAACCAAAAATACACATATTAAAAGCTACAGTCATTTGTATTTACCAAGTTACTTTCTATGTCATCTGTTGCTAGCCTTGAACCAGACAGGTGGATTGTTTTGTTAAATTTTGAAGCCTCATTCCACAAACAGAAGTAGCATAAATCTCAACTTCCTTCACGTCAAGCAGTTTGGATAGCAGTGATCTGATAGCAGCCATATGATGAAAGTAGTGCCCTGGAACTATGTTTTCCTGGTTACAAAACACAATCTTTCTCAAAGTTTCCTTAAAGGAATTTTACAGCATAACTTCTTTAACTTTTAAAGAGAAGAATTTATGCAGGCAACTTGAGAATTGTCAAGCAGCAGTGCTCTGAACGAGCCTGGTGCCCAGACCGCGACACCTGGAAGAGCAAACGAGCAAAGCTCCCGGTCCAGGCAGCCACTTTGCCAATGAGCAGCAGTCACAGCTACAGGGGCAACTTCACCTGCCCTGGAAGGGAAACATGCTGGTCTCGCAGGATTAGACTAGACTAAATGTTTCCGTCTAATCAGCAGCCTCCACCACATTTCTTATCTGCAAGCGTTCACTTGTGAGTTTTGATGTATGGTTAATATAGCAATCAGATTTTTAAAAAAGCGAAAAAAAAATCCATCAGTCCAGACTCCTGGTCTTTGACACTTGTGTTGGAAAATCACTTTCTCATTAGCTCTCCAAGAACCACCTTCCCTCAAAATATTCCTAATGTCACTGAAGAAGATCTTTGCTCCGCTTCTCAAAATTACCAAAGACTTCTACCTGTGTTTATAAGCTGCAACACTCTTCTGTGAGAAAATACCCTGTGAGCCCAGAAGACCAAAAACAGGACAACAAATTAGACAGGCCTTGTGCTGTCCCTGACATGAGCAAAAAAGTGGCAGTCTAAAGCCGCTAGGTATCTAAACCCAGAACCTGGTCAAATCAACTCACTTCGTTTTTTCCCTTATAGAAGTCAGTCAGACAGAATGTAAGAATCATAAGTTTCTGCAAACATCTCCAAGTGACAAGTAATAACTCTGTAAGCTGTGGTGACTCAATTGCAACATCTATATCCTTCTGCTTACTTTCACCTAGTCTAACAAATGACCCGCATTTTTTCATTCTGGACTGCAAATAACCTTGAGTAGATCAAGTGAAATGAGTTCTGTGGATTCATTCCTAGCAGCAATGTGCCTTGGTGCACACACCTGATTCCTTGCATCATGCCTGCAGCCAGCACAGCAACTGTTGGGGCTCCCCTCCACTCTTACTTAGGGATATTGCTCTTAGAAAGTTCCTGCTATCTGTTTTATATCTTTCTGCCTAATTAACTTGGTATGTCATTCCATAACATCTTTCTCTTGTTTACTGCTCAATTTTTTTCACTATAGCATTATTTAATACTACTGCATTATTTACAATAACTGCAATATTTGGAATATAATTTGTACAGAAGACAACTTACAAAAAGTTGTGTTGTATTATGCGCTACTTCTGCTCCCTGAAGAGGCAGATACTTAATTCCCAGAACAGTAAATCTTTTAACTCGAGCAAACCTAGATCCCAAATGCTTAGTTCAAATCTTGTAATTCAATACTGTAGAAAAACCTTAGGTTAGAAAAAGCACTTGGATTAACAAATCTATCATTTCATCAGACAAGCTTCACAAATTATTCATTTTCCTTCAACACTGGGGAAGATAGTTACCATCTCAGAGCAATTTTGATCGGTGTAGTAAGGCATGATGTGAATAGGTCAGCTGGCAGATCAGGGATCATAGGTAGCAATTCGTTGGCTTCACATGCTGCCAATTGAATGCAGTTCTTCATTGATGGAGGCAACGGCATTTGAGCAAGTGGATGGTTTGGGTTAATTGCAGCCACCTGGAGAGATCAAAGAATTTAATCAATTGGTGAATTTAGTCATTCGGGAAAGTTAATCTCTATACCATTCAAAAAATAACCAATGAAGAACTATCCAGGTTCAATGGTTCTCTGGATTCAGAGAAGTTTAAAACTACAATAGCAGCACCTGTGGTTATGTTCCATATATTTTACAGTATTAAAAGTGTATTTACCATAACAATACTTAACACCAAAAATAGCAACTTGCAACATGGATTAAGCTGTAGATCACCACTTCAGTCTTCAGTTTGCATCTGCCAGCTTGGAAGCAAGCACTGTAGAAGCAAGTTGGGCTAATTATTGTTTCTTTTACATTTAAGCAAAAAACATCCTGTGGCTCATAACCATTCACCTCAGATGGCAGAAGAGCTACAAATGGAAAAGTGTACTTCATTTGGCTGCGCTAGGCAGCATTTCCTGCCACGGGGCATAAAGATGACCCTTCCTGCTAAGCGAGGAGAATACTCAGCTCCCTATATGTCTCTCCCCACATATCTTTCTATTTCACTAGAGCAAAAAGGCCATGCTGGAAAAAGGAAGAGAGAAAATTTCCATCAGTGTGTAGAGGCTGTCTTCTAAACAGAAAATGAAACGTGCACTGTCTTCTAGAAAGCAAATGTTAACGTATCATCAGATGCAAGTTTTAATTAATACTTCAATAAATGGGTTGGAGGTCTCTCTATATGTTCCTCTGGATGTCAAACACTAATTTCTGCTCTAAGCAGTAAATGCTACTCTGAAAAATCACTCTGAAAGTCTTTTCATTTCAAGACCTAGAACTGTTCTAACAAGATATCATTTTCCAAGACTCAATTAGTTTGACTGGTTTGGGCATAATCACCCAATTAATACACTCGGAGAGAATGGAGAGACATGTCAGCGCAGACTTCACGCTAGCGTGGACTGAAGCAACATATGGATGTGACAGCATTTCCGCACCTGCAGACAAGAACCAGCTTTGCATAAATGCTATTCATTCAATTCTTTCACTCCACATGCTTCAGAAAGGTCCATTTTTAAAAGGAAAGGAAGAATGAGAAACAGAACAGGCACTTACATAGGCGTATTCAGTGCTCTTTCAAAATCATGACCAAGTCTGCTGTGAAAGAGTTGAGTATCTAAAATTCTGTACTATATGATTACAGCCAATTCAGCTGTCCAACTATCAGGTTTTAAAATGGAAAAGCATATACACCGGTGTTTCCTGTTTCCAAAACTGCATTGATGCTCTTAACTAACATCGTGATTAAGAGCATGTTTCTCAAGACAAATGATCCACAGAATGGAAAACATACACAATCTTTGCAGTGCCTTTCTGAAACAGGGGAACACAAATACTGGACATGCACTGCAGCCACCCAGAATTGGGACCTGTGGTACACCAAGCTTCTTAAATGAATAGGGCAAAGAAATTAAACACTTGCAGGGTGTTCATTGCCCCTCCACGCATAAGCTAGAAAGCACGGACTTATAAAAGCGATCTATATGTTATCAAAGTTTACAGAAGCACATTCTTACAAAGATTAACAATTCTGCGAGTTTCACTTTTTGTGCCAACCGAGTGAGATCGTACAGCTGACTTCACTCTTCACCATCTGCATACGTGAAAAAACTATCTGTCTCAAAGAAAACAATTTGGTGTCTCAGAAGGGTCACTGGGGAACAGAATACCTGCCTTACAAACCCAGAGCCCAGCACAACCACATCTCTCTTGTCTAGCAAAGCATCCCCATAAGCTACGGAGGATTTTTCAGATGTTATTTTACAAATTCTACAACCTATTCAGTTTTTTTTGATTCTTTAAATGTTTCTCTCTTTCTAATCGCAGATGCAGTAGTGACACACTTTGGCTCTCTCAAGTTGACCAAACTGGCTAAGACCTGTCATTGCTCTCAGTTCCGGTGTGACACTTTCAGCACAGAGTCATACCACACCTTGGCTGGGAATGAAGTTAAGCTCAAATCATTACTTGTCATCTAGTGATATTTACTGCACTTCGCAATAAAACTTAAGCTGGACATTTCACAACAACAAAAAACAGGTAATTACTACACTGAAAAGATCTTTTATTTGAGGAGAAAGTCCTAAGAAACAGGGTGGAGAAGCCTTAGCTCTTTACAGATTTATAAACCCAAAGCAGTCCCACTGCTTAGCTACGGCTGCTAGTTTCCAGAAGCGGGCCTTGCCCTCCGGGCGTCCTCCACGGGCGGGAGCACACCGAGACGAATTTGCTGCTTTCTGAGAAGCGTGGAGCACCTACGGCTCGGCTCGACGCTTGTCGGTGCCTGCTAAAGCCCCTCGGGTCCGACAGGAGGGGAAGGAGCTCGCCGGCCACGACCTACCCAGCTCCGGCCTTCTACCGGCAGAGCAGCCAGGCTACAGAAGCTGGGAGACATGCAGGGCAAATACCTGTCCAGCAGCAGATACTATTAACAGCCATAAACTGAACATACAACACCAGCTAATAATTACAGATCTTGTCAGGTTTTTAGGGATAACGATCTAGCAAAACCTTCAGCACTTGCTTATCCATTCATCTCCTTAAGATAAATCTTTTCCTCTCTTTTACAAAATAAGCATGAGAGGGAGGGGGGAAAAAAGGGGTCAAGTAAAGCCCACTCTGAGCATTTATTTTTGCATCGTTAGAACATCCAGAGTCAGGTGGAGACTGCTCTGTTCCCTCAGAAATGTCACTCTTCATTAGGGCAATATATGTAATGAGTAGGTGGCAAAAGAAAGATTAAAAAAATAAATTGGGAAAACTTCATAAATTCACAACTGTAAGAACTATAAATACACTATGTGAAGTTACCATATATGAAATGTTACCAAAATTATTATATTAACATGGATTTAGCTACAACATTTAATTGTTTTTCGGATGTCAGCTTCTGAACGCAAGCGTTAGGTGAAGCCCTTGCGCGCCTCAGTGCTCTCAGCAGCGGAGAGGCGGTCTCGGGGCAGAGGGATGCATACTTCCTTGTGCAAGCTTTGTAAGCACAAACCTCTTTACAATGAGCAAAGTACTTACGGTGTTACTTAACATTATTTAAAGGCAACTGAAAATCCACAGCCTTTCAAATAATGCTACCTAAAATTAGTTTATCAACTATACCAAAATATCCTGGCATTCTTGTAAGATGGTAATAATTACTTTGTTCTGAATAGCAATTATAGCTGCCCAAGCTAAAGAGCACTCGCTTTTGCCATTTGCAAGTGCTCTGTCTGCCAGGAAGAAGAGCTAACAGATGTGCAAGCACCATCACTTGTGCTTAGCAGCAAGGGAGACAATACCTGTATTTTAAACCACTGTTACTGAAAACATTTATGTGCATACAGAAGCAAACACTTGACAGAAAAAACAGGTCTCTCTCTGAATTAACAGGCATGTTTTAAGTTAAGCTTGGGAGGATCTTTGCCCTAAAGCAGAAACTGGAAGTTGCTGTTCTTTTACTTGCTGACCAGACTTGTTAGTGTCACACAGTTTCTGCTAAGAGAATCCTCCTCCCCTGCAAGAGATACTAATGCAACTATAGAAATGGAGATGTGCCTCTCTCCCAGCAGATGGTGGATTAGAAAAATTCTCCCCCCGGACATGATGCTAATGCCAGACAACAGTCTGCTGTGCTGCCATTACGCTAATTTTTGGAGAATTAATGTTCAAGATGGAAAGATAAAAACTGTGAGTTCTTCAGCTCCGATTAGGAGTTAGTCACATCCCCCACTCAAGGCAAGAAAGAACACGCGCCCCCACAGCAAAATTTAATTCCTACACAAAGAACAAAAAGCCACGATGGAGCTGTAAGTAAAATGTTGAGAGATTTGAACTATAAAAAAAAGTTGAAGGCAGAAAAGTTGCACCTCCTGCAGCAAAGCAAGCATCCAGGAGACGTGTTTCAGCCTTCGCTCCTGCACATCTCGCACGCGCCCTTCGGACTACAGCCCTTTACTGTATGAAACAGTTATGAGTCAAAGGAGACAACAATCACAATTACACAGAAAATTAATCAAAAATAACCAGCTTACTGTTTTACTACTGTTAGCACAGCACACTTAAAATGCCTGCTTCGTTCTCCAGAATTATGGTTTATTTATATACACTCATAGAGCCATCAAAGCTAGCTAATTAGATGACTAAGAGCATCCAGCGCCTCCACTTCCATTACACATCATAAGCAGAGCTCAGAGCTCAAAGAAAGGCATATGCAAGGTATTTTCTAAATAGGTTACTGGCTGCTTTATAGACATTGTTTCACTTGCCATTTTCTTACAATGGCATGAGGTCGAATCCCTGCCAGGGAGCGCTCTGCACCCTCTCCCAGCGCCAGCACTCACACTGCCTTAACTGCTCCCGGGCTAGTGATGCCAAATAGGACATTAACCAGGAAGATAACAGCAGGAACTCCCGTTCCTAAAAGCTGGGGTCAGTTTCCAACTCTGAAAAATGTGTTTTGGGAAAGGAAAACAATTGGTTTTGTCATAGTATTTCTAACAGAAAGCTAAGTGTATACAGGTAGCATCAACTGCAAAAAAGAACTTTTAAACTAATTTACCACACTTCATAACATGCCATAGTACCCACGTCATACTGCTAAACAGATATTTCTTACTTACAAAATTCATAGTTTTGTCTAGCTAGGTATTAAACCAGGACCGCCCATCCAGTTAACAATGAAACAAATCAGATATTTCTGGGAAACAGCCAAGCCTGTCACAGTCCAGCAAAACAGCCTTTTCAAAATAAAACCAGCATCTAATGTCCCGTAAGGTGTGCAAGCCTGTAAGGATAGGGAATGCTTTTTTGGTTTTGTATCCAGTCCCCACATTAGAAGTATTTAACTTAAAATTTGGAAACACTGTGACATCTTAAGAATGCTAGGGATTGGTAGAATTTATTAACTTTAATTACTGCTGTGTAATTACAGAACACAAGTGCCATTTTAGAGGCTGACCTCAGAAGAAAACAATGTAAAATGCACTGCTACAACACTATTTTTTCTTCAGATATCTTACAGAAGCTTAACCACTTTCCCATCACTCACCCAAACCAACACTTATTTTTGTGCTGCTTCTCTTTGGAGACGGAACAAGATTTAGATTTAGATTTTACATCAAGAAAAAAACACTAGCCTTTATATCCCAATAACAATGAAAACAAAATATAATTGGGGTTGCAAACATACCTGTAAGTAGGTTGTCATTAATTTTTACATTTATGGTGGGACTATATAAAATCTGAAGGCACCTGGCAAGCACTCTGTACTATCCAAAAAAAGGGATCCCTAAAAAAATAAGATAGGAAGGCACAGCTAGAACTGAGTGTCTGGTAAATGAATATCACCTACCAGACACCTAAACGGTCTATGCATTTGTTAATTGTAACTTCGCAAGATAAAAAACACACATCTTAAAGAAAATAAGAGTCTTGCCATATTCCTAGAAAGGCACTGATATTTAGTTTGTATGTTTTGCACTTATAAACTCATCTAAAGATTGCTGTACTATGCTTAATATCATAAAAACAAAAACAAACTTTTCAGAATAATTGAAACAGTGTGAATTCTGACTGTTCCGAGTATAATCCATATCATCTCATGACAACCATGAAATAAAATGTGTGTTTAACCTGAAAGTTCAATTTCTTAGTTGGTAGCTCCTGTTAAGTTATTACCTATCTACTGCAAGACATTTAAATGCTTCATTTTCTCTTCTAAAAGAACACGGTGGGTTGAAGGGAGGAAAAAATCTTTTCCGATTATCCAACTTCAGCCACTTCCCACAGAGTCCACATCTGCCATTTATTATTTTGCATGCTCATAACACTCACATATTACATCTCGGTGATACGTGCAATAGTTTAATTGCACTAAAATCAGGTATGTTCTAACACTCATCCCATCAGCCCTACCACTGAGGAGAACCTACATAACATCTCCAAAGATGGTTTGTTTGTAATATTGCTGGGTACTGCATTTACCCACCGTTATGGCAGGTAATCCCTTCCTCACCCTCTCCATGCTTCACAGCGTTTTCTCTCCTTAAATTAACTTCAGCATCCAATATTTAGGTATTTTGTGTAAGACAGATAGAGAATAACCACATCTTTATCTAGAAATCTGCATGTTGGTGTGACTAGTGAATAATTAGCCTGTTACTAATAGTTTACTACTGCAGTGGTTGTGATGGAAGTTAACTATGGTACAGGACTGCACTGAGTCAAAAGCAGGTAACATCCAAGAAGCACTGAAGGCTTCCTACGAACAGGATACCAAAACCATAAAACAGCAAGGCATTCCCAGCAAGGACGGATGTGTTTATACCTGCGTGCAAAGCACTAGCAAGATCAGTACCTCCATCAGCAACGTCTGGAAGGGACAGTCTCCTGCTAACACAAACTTCCACGTCATATAAACCTGTTCTCAAATTTATAACGTTACACCTCGAGAAATAGCCTGGTTTCCGTTATTCCAGTCAGGAGGTCATTCTAGAATCTTACTCTTCTGATTTTCTAAAACTATTTCCAAACTAAATGTATTCATGGACAGTTTACACCTATTTGCTCTTGGGTCAACTGCGTCTTCGTGTTTTATGAGTATTTCTCCTTCCCTTAGGCTTATTCCTCAATGAATTTATACATACAGCCATACCTTCCGTCACCATTCACGCTGTCAGATTAAGAAAAAGGCAAGCTCTTCTAATCTCCTTTCAGTAAGACGGGCTAAAAATTATCCTGATCATTCCAGGAACCCCTTGGAGTACCATCTTCAGCTTTACTTCACTTTTCATGAACTTAGACAATTCAGTAATTTATAGTATTCCAAATGAATTCACATCTGTGCTTTGTTTGACACTGTAAGCATTTCTCTGTCTCTATTATCAAGTCTTCTGCTTTGTACAAAATTAAGCAGTTTGTGAGTCTTCAGGAGCTGTTGAAATCTAATATATAAAGTGTGGAAAGTTGACATCCAAACCTGAAAGTATTTTCATAATCAAATTTACTGGTCGCTTTCAACCTGGGTTGGAAAGTGAAGAAATACTATAACAGTTTTACTATGTAACCTCACATATTTTGTCAAAATTAACAACCTCCAAAAAAATAAGCAAGTAGAACTTTATATTTTGTTGAGATTAAAAACTGATTTTGCTACTTGTGCTCATCTTTCTCAAGTTAACCAGCTATTCTGGCCTGGAGACACAGCCTGGTGTGTCTGACTCGCAGAGAGTGGTTCCTCTGCGCAACCACGACCTGACCCATTTACCTGTCACAGAGCAGAAACCAAGAGAGAAACCTGTGACTGCCTTCCTCCCAGAACAGCTTCAAGGTCATTCTAGAGCCCAGCAAAAGCAAAGGAGAAAAGGAGACTTATGAAGAAAGCTGGGAAAGGGAATGTAGAAATAGGCTCATTTTTCATCTGTTTAGGAATAGAATGAGAACATAAACAAAAAAAAAAATACAGAAGGGTACATTTACAAACAGAAGAAAAAGGCAGCAAAAATAGAGCAATGAAAGTCAGAGGCTGATAGAAGAACTTGACAAGTAAAACAGCATATGACCACTCGATGTTTTCCCCGAATTAAAAGGCTGGTAACCTTCAAAATGCATCTATTGCCAATACTGCTGATATGCGTTTTGCAGTTTCATGCTCTTATCAAGCCACAGAGCTTGCAAAGTTTCACATCTATGCAGAGAACAGCGTTATCACTGGTAGAGAAGAGCAGCAATGATGACAAGATCTATATTTCTCAAGATATTAGACTGGTTTCTCTCAGTAGAGAGTTAATTTCTACTTGCCAAAAAAGTCACCACAAAAACATCCCCAGAAATTACAATCCAGAATGAAAGGAATTAGACCCAGGGATACTGTTAACGTCTGCCCGATAATCATATTTGTGACAGACATTTGCCTGATTAAATAATGTTCCTTCCTTGAAGTTTAAAAAAAAAATTATATGTTTTACAACTATCAGAGGGTAAGAAGTTAACCTTTAAAAACGTGCTTTCTGTGCAGGCTAGAGCTAGCAGGAATATCTGGCAACTGGGAGTCTTACCATCCCAAGTTGCTACACAAAAAATCTTAACTTCTTACTTTCTACTTTGTGTTACTGAAGTAAATCTGAAAACTTATTAGTAATTACTAATTTGCAATGAAAGGCAGCTTTTCATTAGAAACACAATGAGCTTAAGCATTCTGTGAAACTGAAACAACCAGTCACAATCCCGCTGTGCGTCAGTTATATCATTTTAACATTTGCACATTTGGTTCAACAGCACAAAACACTAACTGCATCCAAACACGTACCCAGCTATCAGTCTTCCGCATTTAAAATAAATATGTCTGGTTCACCTCAGCATTTATCTCAGCAGAAAAGATCACTAGGGCGCACACTGATTCTATTAACATTATCATTTAATTAGTGCTTGTACTAAAAATTATTCTGACTTTAATAGGATAGCAAACTGAACCAGAAAGACTGGAACGGCAAAATTATTTCCAAATTAATTTGCTTTTAATGTAATTTTAAACATATTTTTCAATGGGGCATAGCAGAGCAAGCCTAAACTTAGCCCTACTGCAGCCATTAGAATCTAGATGAAATCTTAACGTTAGTGGAGAGAAAGAGACACAAATGAAACTTTTGCAACTGTGATCTTACCTCCAACTCTTGCTCCCTCTGTAGTGCAAATTGTTTAAAAGACTTGACGATAAGGCCAGCATTGGAGCAATCATAGACGAAAATGGAAGGACTGCCCATCCAAGTCTGCAGGTCATATATGGACAGAGGAATATACTGCGTATAGTTCTGTAAGAAGAAAGAAAACATTTGAGTTACACAGAGGCAAAAAAGCAACAGAAGTTATTTGTGAGATAATGAAATACACACAAAAATTCCACTTCTGACATCACAAAATAAAACCTAGATAGTACACTGGGCATATTAATCAAGATAAATACCAATCAGCATCTTCTAATAAGGAAGACTACCTACCCAGCTCCAAAACAAATGTCAAGTAGGCTTTATTGTGGTATTGTTTGGTAGGCTAAACTTGAAACTAAAACTCTAAAAATCACTAAAGAGTGCTTTGAAATGTGCCAACAATCCCAATGAGCATTTAATAGTCCAATTCTAGCTCAAACTTCTGCAACACTGATAAAAGACACAAACCGGTTGTCTTTAACATCAGCTACATGGTACTGAAAACTTCATCAATACTTCAATATGGATAATTAAGACTGGTGGCCCTTCAGCAGCTACTCCATCTCAGTTTAATGAGGTACTTCACAATTTTATTACGGTCTTTAAATTCTGTGCAACTTTCAGAATTATCCTATAAAATTAAAACCTACGAAGACTGGCTTCAACAAAGTGACGTTCCAACAAAATCAACTTCTGTAACTACTCCGTGCTTCGTTCCTCCTCTTCTCCCCTTCCTCCCACCAAATAGTTGGAAGCAAAAGCTTCTAAAATTAGAAGGACGATCCAAAAAAATCAGGCTTAAAAATTAGCCATGTAGGGCCATATGCTAAACTAAGTGGCAGAACTGAAACCCCAGCGGAAGCAGCGCTCTGCCCGCTGAGGCTGGGGCGGCGGCCGGCCGGAGCCTCCCCATCCGCAGCCAGAGGGCAACCTGCTCCTGCTCACGCCGCGCTCAGCCCTGCCTGAAAGCAGCAGTAAAAGCTGAGATGTTACTGTTAACATCAGCAGGATGATGGATGGGATCATAACTCCCATTTAAATTCAAGAGGCTTAAAATAGCTGTAATAAAAACAGTAAACTTTTGCAAAAAACAAATTTTCAAGGACACATCTGTATATGTAAAGACTGAAGTGATCATAAACCGAGTGTTCGATACAGTAAGAAACATTAAGTCATTTCAAAATCCAGTGTTGACCATACATAACACTTTCTGTTGTTTTATTAAAACTAATATGAAGAATTATTGCTCATAAAAGTCAAAGTTTTAGGGAGTTAGGAGTTTTGCAAATTGATACAGGATAGAACGATACACAAACAACCTTCTTCCTCAGCGTAGACCTTTTCTGGTTTTTTTAGACAGCAAGGGGAGCAAACTGATATACCACTAAGTTTAAGCACATTTCAATCACAGTAATTACATATAAAAAAATCACTCTGACACATACACTCAGTGAGATTTGATGGACACACGTTCTTTTAACTTTAAATTTTTAATACATATTGCTACAGTTAGGATTGGATTATGTCCCTGACTAAGATTGTGACATTTCAAAGCAGCAGAATTTTAGGTTCAGAGTTTACTGGTGGGGGAGGGGGGGAATAGCTCAACTAATTTGCTGATAATATGTAAATCAGATAGTTTGAAGGAAAAAAGGAGCATTAAATAGTCTTCTAGCACGGCTGCTCAAGGTGCTCTTTTGACGCTTGCTGTTTATCTTGCCTCTGCCAATTGACTGACTTTGGTTTTTGGCATGAAAGCTTCTGCTGGGTTAACGTAACTCCCAACATCCATGTTCGGTGACTGTTTACAGGAATGATGCAACACAAATAAACATAACAAGTAACAATTAGGCTAGAAACTAATTTTGAACATCTTTCATAAGCAATCGCTTAACAAACAGCTCAAGAATCTTTAACAAGCATTCTTCAGATTTTGCAGAGAAGTGCCCCGGAACTTCAGAATAAAAAAAGATGGAAGTTTGAGGGTTAAATCACGCCTGCTACGGCGTGAAGGCAGAACTGCAACTTCTGGCCCTCACTTAGTCAAACACAGGATGTTCCAGCAGAGCTGTGGACAGATTAAAGCACGCACCTTTTAGACCTAAAGCAGCTAAGAAGTGTCCGGAGAAAGACCAGCACAGCTCCACCTCAAGCTATACCTTCTCTTTATGGCTCCCATTAAGGGGAATCTATCACCTATTTTGGAGGCGGAAGATTATTTCGGCAGATGGACAGAAAGTTCCCAAGAAATACAAGCAAGGGAAGAGAACTGACAAGTTTCGAAAGTTTATCTCAACAAAACTTGAACAACTGTAACGATGCTTTTTCAACCAAAGGGCTTTCACTGCTACCTTTCAGAGACAGCCAGCAAAACCTTTAGAGGCGCTAGATCATCTCTAAGGCTGCAGAGGTCTTTTGCAATGAAAACTGGACGGAAACTTTACCAAAGACTCTTATCAGTTGCCCATATCATAAGAGAGATAATATTCGAAGGAATCTCAAAATACTGTGTGCTTGCTGACCCCAAGTATCTGAAAGTGTTTTGGCAGTGCTTGGAACATCACTCAAAAGACATTCAGATTGTTAGAGTTTACCAGCTGTTAATAAATTAAACGCCAGTTAGAATAAAGAAATATTTTCCAAAAGACACAGGGAGACAATGATGAGGGTTTTTTTGTTTTTCTTTTTTAAACTGTTTCACGTTATTACATTAGTTGCAGAATCTGCTTCTGCCTACGCATACATTTCACATCTCTGTACAAAAGACAGACATACCAAACCCAGAAAAAGGAAATTTTCAAAATAATCATCCCTTCCAAAGTATGGTACAATTTCTCTTTCCAGTTCCTACTCAAGATGAAACAATATGTGAAGAGTATATAGTCATTAATTTCTCTAAAGCTAAAGAGCTTCTTCGGAAGGTTTGTGTATTCAGCTTCTGCCTGGGATTTCTTGACCTAACGGATCTCTCAGAAAATAATTTTTGTGGTGATGAACCTATGGGAATTTGTCCCTAGTTTTTCTCTTTCTATATGTCTAATTATCTCACTAATAAAGAGTTTAGGAGCATTTTGTTTGTCAAGCTGCAAAGCAAAAATTAAAAAATTAAAGGCCTATAAGCCTTCACATGCTATCTTGGAGTAGCGTAGCACTTGTTGAGCAGCTGTCATTAAAAGATAGAAAGAAAAAAAAAATACAACCGAAAATATTTTCTGCTTCCCTTAATGCTGTCTCTCCCCCCCATGAAGTTACAGAGCTGAAATGATTTCTGAAGAGCGGGGATTTCTAGGGAAGGAGGAAGGGCAGGGGAAGGAGGCAGGGATGGGGAAGGGGGAAGAGAAGCAGGCACCCTCCCGCACTATTTCGCGCATTTTCTACCCCGAGGAAGTGCAGTTAGAGGGACTCGTCACTATCGTCTTCTTTTTCTACAGAAGACATACAGAAGGTTTTAATTCTAATAAAATGAACAGAGATGAGTATCAGATTATTTATTTACTGCTCTTCTCTTTATCTGTCAGACTAGATTAAGTATTAAAAACACAGGCTTGCTTCATAAGGGAGCCCTGAGAGATGAAGACAACCACAAAGTTATTTATACTGCAGCAAGCATAACATGTTAAAATCTACAAAAAATTAAACTCAAGAAAAACCTGCATGCAAGAGAGGAGGTAGATTTGGTTTTCAAAGATCAGGTTAATTTAGCTATCATCTTTTTAAGGGCCTTACCCAAACTGCACCATACTATTTCCCCTTTCACGTCTCTTCCCAGTAGAATTTGAACTCTGTTTAACTAAACAAAACAACTGAGATGCATAGCTGAAGTGAATCAGGCTAAATGATACTTCCTGAAGGTTCTAATCTTTTTAAATCTACATATCAGAATATATCATTGCATAACGATCAATTTTTTTCATAAAATTTTTTTTTTCATAAGACAAATCAAAAGAGACCACAGCTCCTAATGAGCAGTTGAGCTCTCAACCACCTTATTCCAGCTGAGATTCCAGAAAAACTGGCAAATACCCAGCAAGTTCTTAATAAAGCATTTGGCACAACACACAAACTTCATCGAACAGTAATTTCCTCTTCTTCCATGTGTAACGCATTCTGCCCATCACTCTTTCTGGCTTATTTATTACCCACTGGCAGTTAAGTGAGAAGAAGGTCACCGTTATTTTTTCTAAAACACCAAATTCAGCTTCAGAATGAGTTGTTTAAAATGCTGGTGTGAATACTAATCAAGTCTCCCATACAGATGCACTAGAATAAAATGACCACCTCTTGTACTTCCCCCCCCTTCCCTTTTACCCCTACCCTCTTTCCAGTTATCATTGAATGCTTTTTCAATTATAAAAATAATGCACGTGAAGTAAGAGAACAGAAGTTCAATAGGCCCCCAAAATAAAATAGGAGCCAATTTATAGTAACAAATGCAAGTTCTCTGTCAGCTGGATGCACTTTTCAGCTACCGGCAGTATATCTCCATTTCCCAAGACTCCATTCTAAATCAGTTACCCTTAATAGATGCTAAATAGCTTAACTAAAAGGAAAGCAAAAGTACATTTAGGTCATACTCAGCATCACTGGAAAAGTATTGCATATGGATATGTGAGAGCGAGCTGTACAAATTATAGCTAAGCAGGAGTGGCAGAAAACTTTAGGAAAATAAGAGATACCTATTCTATGGCACTCAGAGGTTCCTCAGTACTCTGTACTTCAGCAGCAGAACTAGCCATAGTTTTGTTGCCCTCGCGTGTTTTTCCCATGTAGTCTGAATAACGGCTATTCAGAGTTAGGGGACATTTTAAGCATAAACTTCATTTTAAGAACTTAACATTCAGACAGTGACACAAGGCAGCCAAGCCAAGTCCATCAAGGAGCTTCACCGTTTGCTCCAGACACGACAGAGCTATGCTGTTACGTCTGAAAAAAAGATGGATGAAGTGAAAGTAGCTGGCTTTTCAGCGTTTTGTAATGACCCTTAGCACATCCAGGAAGACTCTCCTACTCTGCAGCGGGGAGAGGGACAATCTGTTTGGTCTCACAGAAGAACTTTAAGGACACAGAAGAAAGCAAACAGCTGTCAGTGTGGAACCAAATAAGTATCTGTGAATGCTTTTCAAATCCTGAAAAAATCAGTTGTTCTTTCTAACAAAACAGTAATACAATATGCAGAGGAGTGAAAAACATCCATCTGTTTTGCACGCTGCTCCTCAGAGACGCACCTTATTGAAGACCCAGATCTCCCCATTTACTGTTGGCCTGGGGACGCCATGTCCGTTGTAGTGGAAAAGGACGCGCTCTTCCTTGGCATTTCGACGTAGAGACGTACACAGTTTCTTAACTTCATCCACCGTAGGATCAAGACTTTGCTTGTATCTGGCCTAGTAACATAAAATATAAGTTAATCATTTTAACTGTAAACATAAATCTGTTCAAGCATCTATTCAAGAAGGAAGTGTGTATATAAACCGGCATATTGGAAAAAAACCCAAAATATTTACGAGACAGCTGAATAAACAAAATATGTCTGTTACTTGGTGTGTGGGAACGCACACACGCATACAGTAGCAACACAGGTACGAGTTAGTTTACCACGTATCTCTGAACTTTGATCCGGCTCATCCAGGGATTACTAACGTTCAAAATGCCTTAGAAATAGCAAATACATTTTCAATATTAGTCAGCCTCAAAAACGACCCCGTACAATTCTCCAGTCCTCAAATTCATAGCCTGTGACCCTCCAAATGAACAAAACTCACTCTTAAAGACACAAAAACGTACAAGCCTGGTATTGTGTAAACCTCAGATCTCATACTGAAAGGTTTCTTCCCTCCCATTGAAAAAAGGACACGGTTCTTGCTTCAGGCCTCGAAAGGAATGGCAATACCAAGCTGAAGGGCAGAAAAATTCGGATAGGTATCCTACATGGGATTATAACAACAAGAGCAGCACCACCCTCTTCCTAAATCCTGACTCATTAGTTCCGTGGCATAAAGGTATCCCCTTCCACTAACGAGACAGATATAAAAGAAGCCCGGCCTACACCTCAGCAAATATGTTAAACTTAAATGGAGTTGTGCCATTTCTAGCTGGGCCCACAGCAGACACAGGAGCCTAAAGCTACGAGCAGAGCGAATCCCGGCCTGGGAGAGGGGAAAGGACGCGGAGCCCACGGCAGATTGCAAGCAGCGGACCGAGGAACTAATCTCCGCGTTCTCGGCAGCGAGGAGTTCCTCTCTGCTTCCCAACAGGAGAGCACTGACTCCATAGAGAGAGCTGCCGGAAGGGAAAGAAAGGGAAGTTGCAGTGAGATTCAGCAGACAACTGAACAAGGACACAGAAGGAAAAGGAAAAGGAAGACTATCTTTCCTTTCCGCTCTCCTTACTCTGTACTGTACTGTCAGCAGTACAGGCAGTAATGCAGAATTTTTAAAGCTCATGATGAAATATCTATACTTCAGTACCATCACCAGTATTTCTTGTAGAGCTATATATCTATGCGGACATATCTGAGCAAAAACGCATAGAAGCATAGTCTTATACAACTAGAATATAAGAAAGCATAACACAATGTGAAAAACTAAGGCAAAAAGTTTGGTTTCTAGAAGAAAAATGGTTAACTTGGTGCAATGGCTCACACTACATACTCTGCGGACAGATACATTTTCAGTAATGACTATACTTTGAATCACAATAGCTCATCATCGTCATTGCTCCTATCCGGCCAGAAATGCTACTGTGTTTCAACAGTTCTGGTCTCCTCTTCCCATGTAAGAGGCATATAGAGGACCGCTGAATAAACGTACAGCTGTTTAGTATCTGTTACCGGCAGATACTGAATGGACTACATAGACCTGCAGGATTACAGAAAAATAAACAAACGCACTATCAGCAAGTACATGACAATTTCATTCAACATTAGGTGATAGACAAAAATAGAGAAAAAAAATCAGAGCAACCTAGTATAACATTAATGAACCTTTAAATTAACTTATTAACTATTAGCCATTAAGGTCAGGCACTATATTACACCAGACTGAATGCATCCCCAACCCTAAAGGAAAAAGCCTATTGGTTAAAACTTTGTCATTAATGAGACTATGAAATGTTATAATTGTTATATTCATTCACTGTCTCACCTCTACCTAGAGGTACCTAGAATGCTTTATGACAAAGCCATTCTGATTAAAAAAAAAAAAAAGGCACAAAAGTCCCAGGAAGCTAGCATTCACACAGCTGGGTAAAAAGAAGGTAACCGAGCATCAGAAGCTTCTCTCTTGCTCCTGGAAAAATTTGATATTCAGTATCATTACAACTTTGGCTATCAACGCTATATCATCATTCGCAGCTATGCAATTCTACGAGCATGTAAATCTTAGCACATTTCTATGCTTGGAAAAAAAATGCTGTAAGAAGTCAACATTTCAAAAACATTCTTACTCAGATAATGTTCAAGATCCCTAAATAGTAGCTGGTTTGTCATACTCAAAGATGCATTTTTTGGAAGCCAGGCCAAATAAAGTCTTTTAACTGTCCTTTGAAAGACAAAAGCCTGTTTCTCCTTTTCTCCTCCAGACCTCCAAAGAGAAACTGATAATCCAGAATCAAAACGGCCTAAAAAAATTAATGTTGACGTACTGAAGTAAAGAACTTAGTGTAAGACTAGGACGATTGTAAACATACCTCCACAAAAATCTGCTACTGAAAGTCTGCTCATACATCAAGGTTTAGGTTTGGGCTTTTTAAGCTTTCTTCTGTGACACTCAGAGATACAAAGGTCTAAAAATATCGTGGTAAAAAGGGATGAAGCACTTTATGTAATATAAAAACGTGTTGCTTATTTAGGTAGCTTGAAAAATAGGTATCATGCTGCTCAATTAATATTCAGCATTTCAAGCCAATAAGCAAAATGGATACAGTGAATGGTATCATCTGAAGCAAAGCAAGCAAAAGGAAAGAAAACGTAAGAAAGGGAACCAGTGGTCGCATACCGACACTTTTTGGGGGCTTCCATAACAGGTAAAGAGAGGAGGCTGTATTAATCTCGACCCAGGACCCATCTACCTCTTTCTCTCTCCTCTCAGTGTTGCTATGAAGGTGTTGATTTGCAAAAACGTTCACCTTAAATCACATTCTGCCTGCTGGCACCTTTACAAGACACTATAGAGCGGTGGGCAATTTTTCAATTCCAAAAATACAAAAAACCCGACTCATTGTAACACTCCTCACATCCTTTCAGCATAAATATTAAATACAGCTAGCAATGAATGGAGGTGAATTCATACTCTAAAACAAAAGCCTTGTAGTCCTAAAAATCCAAAATGTAAACATGTCATCCTAGACATTTATAAACACAAGGCTGAGAAGAACGAGAAGGCGAGAAGGGAGCCCGTAAACAAGCAGACAAGCACCTACCTGTCAGCTGAGGCCTTTCAGGCAGGAGCGTATCCAGCACCGCTCCCGTGCATACTACAACAAGCGGTTAGCCGAGTAACTAACTACGCAATGTGTCTTTTTTTTTTCTTTACATAATATCTTCAAGGTTTTTTTTTCCATGATGCAAGAAAAAACAGGAGAATAAGCACAGAAATCGCAAGAAAAGTGTAGGCTTTGCTCAGCTGATTGGGTGGGGGGTTTTAGGGGTGGGGGGAGAGGAGAAGGTACTATTTTATCTGATGCTCTGTGGGACTACAGGTTTTAATAATTTTCAAAAATGACCTACGGTTTTTCTTCCAGAACAGAACTACAGAAACTGAAGGACTTTGAGAAAACCATACAGAAAGAGCATGCACGGGTGGCCGCTCCTGCCGAGCGCTGGAGAAGACGTCCGGGAGGACCGGGGCGCCCGCGCCCCCTCACGTCTCGCGAGGCCGACCCCCAAGCGAGCGGCCGTCCAGGCGGATTCACCCGCTCGAGAATTTTACCTTTATTTTGACAATAGGAAGCAGTATTTTTTAAACACAATTTTAGTTCTCATCTGCCCATTTCATATCTTTAGCATCGTTATCCCTTCGCTGGATATTTCCTTTGTGGTCTCCTCCTGTATTTCCCTCCATCATTGCTCTTTCATCTTTCTCAGCTACACTCTGCTCCGTTCCTTTTCCCAGCAGATGCTCTCAAGCAGTAGTCAGAGCAACAGAAAGCCTCATCTATATGTAACTCTTCAAAAGTTCTCTGCAACTTTTACTGAAATGATGCTAAAAAAAAAAAAGGTTTTTTTTTAAAAAATAAGCATGAATCCATTCAACATTGTTACTACATCTGAAGTTTTCAGATGAAAAACTGGATTTTTCAGTCCCTGTAGATCTCCCCTTTTCTCCAAAATAAGAATTTATTTTTTATCCTAAACCCCATATAATTCAAAAATGTAAATATATTTACTGTGGTTCCAGAATCTGTTGCACAGGCTGAAGCACTCACCAAAATAGAAAAATGAAGAGTCAAGTAATAGCCAAATAAATAAATAAATTCAACACAAACTATATGCAACATCTAAAACTTGCAAGCTTTTACGATAAAATTACCTTATTGAAAGGAAGTTGCAAGTGACCTGACTGCCATCAAGATAGTGACAATTAAGATGGGCGCTATGCTTGTACCAGAGTACCATTACCTAAACCGAAAAGCACCAATGAAATAAGTGGTCTCCAGATATTACCTGGTGCTCTCTACAGTACACTTATATTTAAACTATAAAACATGTAAATACTAAAAGAGGTAGTATACTTGATTCATTTCCCACTTGCACAGACAGTGACAGAACTTTCTCATCCTTATAGCATAGATAGTTTGAGGAACAGTATTTATCGTAAATATTTGATTCCAAAATTTCAGGAAAACTCTGGGACAGGAGTCTGACTTCCAGTATTAAAAGAAGTATTGTATGAGGCATTTAGGGGCCAAAAAAAACCAAAACAAAACAAAACAACAAAAAAAACACCACTGTCTTGGAGTAACGCCATGGCTCCAGAGCGCTCTACATCAACCAGCAGCTCCGGCATTCCCCAGCCCCCTGCGCTGAATGGGCTTAGCTGGCAAAACTAGCAGCAAATTACCTAGGCAAAGAAGTTGATAATCTGCTGCTGCAGCAGCAACCGGTGCGTAAGACCCGCTGAACACCGGTGCTGTGCAAGGGAGCGGACGACGGGGACAGCCGCGACTGCAGGGGCGGCGCACAGCAGCCCCACATAAGCACCCCAGGTTGTGAGCGCGGGGAAAGACAGACTAACAATTAGATGAATACAAATGGAGAACATACTATTAAAGCTCATCATCTTCATCAGAAAGAATAGTAAATTACTCCTCTCATGATGAAATCAAAGCCATCATCTTTAAGAGAGAAGGCATGGATTCTCTAAAGCCAAGATCTATCAAAACTACA